TTAAACAGCAGGAGTGGGTTTATCAGGATCAGCGGGAGGCGGTTTGGCTTCGTTCAGTGCAGGTCTGATTGCTGCAGCTCATAATGATGATGTCACCTCACCACAGTAGAGCAGCAGACGTGATCTCATGAAAGTCTCGAGTCGACTGCATGCTTGAGTGCAGAAAGGAAGTTCAGCTCACAAGTGCCTGCTGTCATAAACCTAATATTCACACCCACTTCCTGTCTGAAAGCCCCTCTCTTCCTCCACTGGAACATTCTGTCCTCCTCACTGTGGTGCCTCACCAATAGAGGACGCCACACAAGATTCGACGGATACATATGACTCAGCTCTGTGATTTATGAGATCAATATTAATGCCTGTTTTATTTTATTTTATTTGTAATTTTATTATTATTTGCGTTTAATTATTTTATTTTAAAAAATGTTTTTTTTATTGTATTATTTTATTTTAATATTATTTTGTTATTGTTTATTTCTTTTATTTTACAATATTTTTTTCATTTTTTTATTATTATTATTATTTTGTAGTTTTATATTTATTGTATTATAATTATTAGTATTATTTTTTTTTATATATATATCATTAAATTAAAACTAAAATATAATAATATATTTTATTTGAACTTGATTAAAAAAAAAATCACTGGGTGTATTTTTAAGTTTTAATAAGGGAGAAATGATTTTCAGCTTTGCCTTGCTTCAGGATAGCTCTGTTTAATCGTGAATCTGTCTGTGTGCGTGTGTGTGTGTGTCCCACAGCTGTAATCCTGCTGCGTTACACTGCTGCCACATCTTTAATCTCTGTGATTAAGGAAAACACAGACGCAAAGTCTTGAGATTACACAACACAGGAAGACACAAATTATGATTATCAGCAGAGAGACGCTGCAAATGAGTCACTGGCTTTGAAAAAAAGGTAGTTAAAGAAGGAAATGAGCACGTTTAGGCTGGTTTCACCCTCAAGATGATCTTGTTTTTATCTGCTGCATTGATTTCTACTGATAACGGACATGTCAGATGATCACACATGTGTCTGATGAAATAACAACATCTCACGGTTGATGTCAAGAGATTGCATCATAATATATGACATCATCATAATAGAAAATGTTTCCTGCACACATTTGTTTTTGCTGCGGTGCATGTTATAGTACATAAATGACAGTAAATACAAAACCTTAATGAGCATAGGTAGTTCTGATTATTGTGTATATTAAAACTAAATGTTTTCTTCTGATTTCGTTGTTATTCTGTCACAGTAAGAGTCATGGCGGATCTGAGCTTGACCGATGCTCTGACCGACAGCGTTCCTCAGCCTGACGTGGAGAACATGGTGGAGAGGGATTTTGTGGCCACGCTGGAGGCCGAGACCTTCGACGATCAGGTCGGAGAGACGGTTGACAAGATGAACTTCGTCCCACTGCTGGACAATGACGGGAAGGGTGAGTCTGATCTGTTGATGTTAGCAGGTTACCCAGCGTAAACATCAGGCGTGCCCAAGTTTTATTGTGTCTACTGTACTACCAAACAGTATTTTGTTTTATTTTATTTTATTTTATTTTATTTTATTTTATTTTTGCATTGCATTGCATTTTTCTCATTTTATGTTGATGTTAGCAGGTTACCCAGCGTAAACATCAGGCATGCCCAAGTTTTATTGTGTCTACTGTACTACCAAACTTTTATTTTATTTTATTTTATTTTATTTTATTTTATTTTATTTTATTTTATATTATTATTGCATTGCATTGCATTGCATTTTTCTCATTTTATTGCATTGCATTTTTCTCATTTTATTGCATTGCATTTTTCTCATTTTATTGCATTGCATTTTTCTCATTTTATTGCATTGCATTTTTCTCATTTTATTGCATTGCATTTATTTCTCATTTTATTGCATTTATTTTTTTGCATTGCATTTTTAAAATTTTTATTGCATTTTTTTTTTACTACATTTACATGATCTGATTCTTAGTGTTTTTCTTTCTTTTTTCTCTCTTTTTTTTTTAATCTACTTATTTTATAATAGAAGTTGTGCAGCGCCTCTCTTCACAGATTAATCATTTTTCTCGAGATGAAGTATGTTTGCAAACTGGCCTCTCCTTTGCATTTTTTTTTTACTACATTTTTATATGATCTGATTCTTAGTGTTTCTTTCTTTTTTCTCTCTTTTTTTTTTAATCTACTTATTTTATAATAGAAGTTGTGCAGCGCCTCTCTTCACAGATTAATCGTTTTTCTCGAGATGAAGTATGTTTGCAAACTGGCCTCTCCTGTTTCAGTAACCTGTGATGTTCATTGAATGTTTGTGTGTGAAATAAGCAATTCCTCTGGTTTATATTGGCCTGTGTGAATCTTTTGTGGGCGTCTGTCTGATTGATTTCCAAGAGTTTGTTTGCATTGAGCAAACTGTGTGTTTGTCAAGAGTCTGCCGTCTGATTTTGAGGATTTTCCCATTCAGACGCCTCTAATTGTTGAGTGTGTTTGTGTGTGTGTGTGTGTGTGTGTGTGAGCGCAGATCCAGGTACAGTAGTCAAGAACGGACAGCAGGAAGTCCAAGGGGCTCAAAACCCTGGTAAGAGACGCCTTAGATTTTCTCTTAGCCCCAGTTGGGTGTCGCTCTGTGATTTGAGTCATACCTTGGTTTGCTTGTTTTCTTTCATGCTCGTTTTCAGTTCAGATCATTTGTTTTGGTCTCAGTGGGCGTAGAGGAGACTAAAACCTTCATTTACCAAGGTTTTAGTAACTCTGTAATTGCATGTTTATCCTGTTAGCAGTGCATTGAATAGTACTTTTTACTGTCCTCCTCAATCTTGATATCTAGCGTCCTCTGTCACATGATGTCTGTCGGCCGGATTTGACTTTGACAAACTTTGTATTATTATTATTATTATTGTTTCCCATTTGTTGATACAGACACGAGTTGAAAGTGTGATCGTGCATAGACACTCAAATGGAATCGAGATTGTGAATAGGTCCTACATGTTCATTAATGTATCGTAACGTATCGATTTACCTAGATATCTGTTGCTCTTGTTTACATGCACTGATGTTTATCAGTTTGAATTAACCCAATCTGTATTCAGATGAGAAAGAACTGTTCATTAACAGAGCCATTGCAAGCAAAACTGTAGTTTTTACCTTGTTGGTAAATCGAAAAATATGTCAAACGATTTTTAGCAAATATTCATTCTCCTTTGCTGACCAGTTCGGCGTAAATAAACACATGTATCATGGCACTACACATGTGCACAAGGTCATTTAGTTTCTGACTGAGTAGTCTGATTCAAAGGTTCAAATGGTTAATATTTTCCTTTTTAATGGATTTTTAAAGCAGTGTTAGTATAATTGAGATACTATTATAGTTTTTCTTAATATTTTAAATTAGTTATTAAAATAAATTATTTTTAGATTTTTCATTTTAAGTTTTATAAATTTTGTTGTTATTATTATTATTATTATTATGTTTTTTAAATATGTCTATATACCTTATTTTTATTGTAGTTTTTAGGTATTTTTGTAAATCAAATTAAACTAAATTAAAAATGAGAAAAGTTTCCTTGGCAACTATCTGCCAAAAAAAAAAAAAAAAAAAAAATATTATATTAAATTTTCAAAAAATTTTTTACTTTAATTACACTAAT